CGGCTACTTGGGAGGCAGAGGCAGGAGAATCGCTTGAGTTGAGGAGTTGGAGGTTGCTGTGAGCTGTGATGCCACAGTACTCTACCCAGGGAGACAAGGTTGAGGTTGAGGCTCTGTCTCAAAAAAAAAAAAAAAAAAAGGAAAGAAAGAAAGAAAGCTAGATTTCTTAAAAACTCAGTTTCCAAAATAATGTTAAGAGAGAGAAATGAAGAAACCAAAGGCTCTGACCAATTACGATTACAGAACTTGCCCAAGACAACACAGGGAATCAGCCCGGGCTCTTCCCCATTCCTCAAAATTCTTTGTGCGGTGGGAGGCGAATTATTTTCCACCCAAACCGAGAGAGATGTGGGGGTAGGGACTGGCTTTGGGGCTTGTCTCCTGTGTTATCTACTCCCAAGCGCCAGTGCTTCAAGTTCAAAGAGACTTGACAACTTGTGCTATGGTAACCTGCAGCTTGTAAAAAGGCATTCGGCTCGTTGCTGCTAGAGAAAGATTAATCGCCCTTTAAAAGTGGACTCTGCAGATGTGGCTGTAAAAATATGGTATCTCTAGAAAAAAAAAAATATATATATATATATAGTATCTCTGTGAGAATATGGCCCACGCCTGCTGGTAGATGAGCCTTAGAGGTGGCTGTGTGGACAGCTTTACTCTCACCGAATTGAGAAGTTCTTATTCAAAATGCACCTGCAGAATGATACAGCACAACAAAAAAGGGGAGAAAGAAGGATTCTTCTCCTGTGACAGAAGGAAATTTCTGGAGGGTAAACCAAGCCAAACAGATATTAAAAAAAAAAAAAAAGGCAGAATCAGTTTGATCTTATCTTTGAAAAGCAGAAAACAGCAAACTGAACTGAGATTCCTGTTGAATTTTTTACCGTTTTTATGAAACGCATGATTGGGCTGAAACCAATGCACATTCTTTCCTCATGATGCTGTGATGTGAGTTATTGCTTTCCACACTATCAATCCCTTTGGTCTTTTCTCCCTCGCCCCCACATCTAGGAGAAGTGATTTACACTTGGTTCTTGCACGGTAATTCAGTAGTGTTGAACGTACTGTAACACCACTGGTAAGCCCCACTCAGTGACCCAGGTTAGTCTTGGATATTCACTTCTTTTTTGTGAATCAAAATGTGCATTAGGACTCTATGGTACCTTAGGTTTGACTGGAATTATTATTGTTATGTTTCTAGAATTATCCTGCAGTTTAAGTCACATATTGAATTTTTTTTTTTTTTTTTGAGACCAAGTGTCTGTTGCCCAAGCTAGAGTGAGGTGGTGTCACAGCAACCTCACACTCCTGGATTCAAGTGATCCTCCTTCCTCAGCCTCCTGAGTAGCAGGGACCACAGGTACCTGCCACGATGACCAACTAATTTTTTCTATTTTTAGTAGAGATGGGGTCTTACTCTTGCTTAGGCTGGTCTCCAACTTAAGGGGTCCACCAGCCTCAGGCCACCAGAGTGCTAGGATTATAGGCATGACCCACAGTGCCCAGTCCATATATTTAATTTAGAGAACAAAAATTATAGCCTCCAATAATGTCTACAGACAAAATATCTTCCTAAACTTCATTACATTGAACAAGGCAGGAAGTCTAGGGCCAATAATTTAAAAATCTGGTCTGACATAAATATACCATCCAAAACGGCAAGACAGCTAATCTAGAGGAAAAAAATGGGGCACTTTCTCAGTTTGGAGTTCCCATCTCGAAGGACAGAAAGGGAGGCTGTTACCTGTATCCCGATGGACAGGCATCTGTTTTTCTTAAAGTGGTCCTTCTTCCTGTCCTCCGTGGTGACCGTGGCTATGGTGGTGGTGGTGGTGACGGTGGCGGTGTTATTGCCCATGTGTTGACTTGCAGGGCCGTGGATCTGGGCGTTGGCAGCTTCGATGGCAGCTGTCAGAGCCTTCATACTGTCCAGGCTCTCCGTGGAGTTGCTGAGTCCAGACTGGCTGACAATATCTCCGCGCTGGCCCTGTCCGTCCATGTAGGCGTCCTGGGCAGACTCTGTGCTACTCTGGGCTGTGATAGAAATGAAAGGTTTCGTGGTAGTTCTGGGTGGGACTGGAGGTGGTGTCTTCTTATATGTTGTAATGCAAGATGACACTGGAAGACAGTGAAAACAAAGACACTGTGATTCCTGCGTGGGTCTGAGTTTCTGATACTGTAACTGACAGCGGGTGGGAAATCAGGGCACACGGAACACACTGAGACGTTCACACGAAAACAAGTCCATTGACAGATTAAGGGAGATCCCTGGTTTGCGGGAGATATGGGGGCTCCTTCCCAGGAGGTGACATCACTACGCAGTTGAGGGGAAAAAGACTAGAAAACATCAACCTCCGGCATGGAAGTTTCTGAAATGGAAGTTAATACGAATCAATGTAAACGAGACATGATTAGCCCAGGCGACCACGCATACGTACACAGGGTAAAGTGACGGGAGTCTCTGCCTTCCCGGGAGAACAGTGAATATAGCTAACGTCAAACACTTTACGGAAGATCCTAGTGGTTGATGGTAAACACTGAAAAAGAAGGGACAGCCTGGAGGTTGTGAGGATGTGGGTTCTGATCCTAACAACAGTGGCGAGGTACTGGGGAGCACAGCACGCCATCAGAGCACCCCACTCTCTTTGTCTGCACCCAGGCGATTCTTTCATTTGTTTCTTTCCTTTCTTCCCTTCCTCCCTCCCTTCCTTCCTGCCTTTCTCTTTCTTTTTGCTTTCTGTCTGATTTTCCTTCCTTCCTTCCTTTCCTTCTTTCTCTCTTTCCTTCTCCATCTTCCTCCCTCCCTCCCTTCCTT